AGTCTTCTCGTTCTGTTGATTGTTCCCCAGCAGATGACTATTTCCTTAATAGTGATTCCTCAGAAGGACAACAACCTGCCATGCAGAAAGAACTTGGCGAGACAAACCTGCTGGAAAGTGTTACAGCAAATTATTCAACTGACTTGCTTATGACAACAAATGAGGAAGACAGTTTAGCTGAATTTGATGAGAATCCAGGAGAAATATGTGAGAAAACTTCAGGTTTGATTGATTTAGCTGAAGGTGATTCCAGTTCACCAGAAATTTTGAAGTCTGCCGATTCAAGAATTCCACCAACGCCTATGAACAGTCTTGTAGAAACTTCACCATTAGATAATGGGCGGCCTTTATTTTTTCCACAAGATGTCATTAAAAAAATTAACGAAATAGATGGCCCGAATTATTCTCCGTCTCATGTTAGGTATGGGAGCTGGTGGGATGGCTTTGACCTGGATTCCAGAAATGGTGATACGTGGAGTTCAAGTGAGCAGGAATCTGTATTTCAGAGCCCAGTCTTATGGAAAGATTGTAAAGAAAGTCCCTCACTACGAGAACATATTGATAGAAGAGCCTCAGATTCTGTATTCCTCCAAAAACAGCCAAAGCAAATGAGAGCAGGACTGTGGGATAATCATTTTAAGCAAGATAATTGGAACGATGATGTGCAACAGAAAAATGGTGAACATTCATGTTTACAAACGGCATCTTTAGAAGAGACAAAGCAAGAACCAGAGAGCTTTACCTACCCATGGAAGGTCAGTCAGCCAACACCTGTGATGTCAAATGCATGGTGTAGTGATGAAGGGAAAAGTAGTCAGCTAGCTGGAGACTCTTTTGAAGTCTGGACTAAGTTTGATTCAGGAGGTATTGCTACAGCCCCAGAAAATGTATGGAACATACCCAAAATGGATAGAGAAAAAAAATCAGTGGATATTCCTGAGGAATGGGCCCTATCAAAAACTAGTTTATCAGATTCTTCAGAAATCACAGGGGACAATGAGACCGAAAATCCGCCTGTCCAGATATCTCCAGAAGCCTGGGATAAAGAAAGATATTATTCAGTAGAAGAATATGGAAAACTTGAAAATACAAATGCTGTTTTCAACAATCTGCAAAATAGTTCCAAGCTGCAAACAGAGGAAGAAGCTGTATTTGGTAACCCTAAACATAGACCAAAACAATTTGAAAATATAGACACCTGGAATATGTATGATAAAAACATCAGGAAAGAAGTAACAGAAGTGGTAGTGCCATGGCAGGATAACTTCTTGTATAAACACTTAGATCTTAGTTCATCAAACACAGGTGAAGATTTAGTTGTTTCTCCGCCAGATACCAATTACTCAACATCTGATTCATATGTATCACCTACATATGTGAAAGATGAAAGACAAAATGAGGACAAAGATTTTAACGAAGAAACACTTATTGATAAATTGGTAAGCCCAAATTTGGCTGAGCCAGAAGTACTTGAGAAAGGAAATAAGGAACCATTATCTCCCAGAAACATGTCTTTTTCAAAGGCTGAAAACACAGACATCTTGGACACTCCCCTAAATAATGTCACACAGTTACAAGAACGAAATTCTGAAATTGCTGCTCTTTCTGCCTTTGCTAAATCTTTTCTTAATTCAGAACAAACAGCTGATCAGTGTTTTTCAGCTGACATACATACCGATGAAAATAATTTTTCTGTATCAGCAAGCAGAAGAATAACACCGGTGTACAATCAGACAGTGAACGACTTATCACCACCACAGAACGAATTAAATACTGAACAGAATGCAGCTGAAAATGTAGAAACAGTGACCAGTGTTCCTGTAGAAGACACAGACACATCCACACCAACTTCAGATACTGGGAATGGGTTGGATCTGAAAATATGTGACATAGGAAGTGAGATACTTAGTAAGAAGGCAGAAAAAAATTCTGCTGATGTTGATGAAAAGCTGGATAGTCAGGATTCAGTGCAGCAGCTGGATTCATGGAGTTTACAGAGAGAGCAGGGATGTGAGGAAGACTGGGACAATGCCATTTTCGTCTCTCAGACAGGAAAGGAAGAATGTAAGAGTACAGATGAGACAAATGAACACCAAATGATTAGTGACATTTGTCATAAACCACTGCAGGAGGACAGTGAATCTTCTTGTAATGTAGACTTGGGAGGAAACAGGTCAACAACTGAAGTTCCCAGCTCCCCAGAAAAAGTGAGGAATAGTGTTAGTTTGGAAGCCTTAATCACAGAGAATGAGTTATTTGCCAATCAGTGCAATCCAGATAGTCAGGAAGAAAGGAAAGACTTTTTGCAGAATAATGTAGAATCTTCCTCAAGTGTTTCTGAAGAAGGCAGAGAGTGTGAAATTTTTGATGATCCCAGAGCAGAAAATTACGATTATAGTGAAACGTCACAGCTGCTTGCTGAGAAAGCTGAAAAGGAGACTACAATGATAGAAGATGTAACAAGTCCGGAGATGGAAAGTATCTCTGAAAGTTCTGATAAGGGTAGTGATAATCTTGAAAATAATTCTTCTAAAATGCCTGGAAGCTCAGGCATCTGGAATGATTCTGGAGAGAGTGACAGTTGCCAGGTCACTTCACTTCCTTTGACGAATGGAGCACAAGAAGCACCAGGAGAAGTGAAAGAGGGCTTACATGAAGTGGTTCCTAACCATACTGAGTTAGTGTCTTTCAAAAAAAGCTCAGAACTGAATAGGACTCATGAAAAGTCTTTCATAGATGATTCTAAGAAGTGTCCTTCATCTGGATATGTCAGTGTTCCTGACATTACAGATGTGTCTTCGATGGGAAGTTCGTTTTCACATGAAATAGATTCTGGGAGAAATGAAAGGTCTGAAGATTTAGAATTTGCTAGTAATCTTTGTGGAGAGACATGTGTAATGCTTAATGACAGTTATCTCCAAACTGCTTGGAATTCACAGCCATGTGAAGTTTTGCAATCTCCTGGAACAAGTCCTGAGGCAAGTGAAGCCCTTGAAATGGCAAACACCACAAGTAGCCTTTCAAAGGATATACAGATCAAAAGTTATTTGGAAGAAGATAATGTGTGGAGTGATTCAGTAAATGATTATGCACACTCAAGTGGAACAAGTCCTGATTTAAGTGATGCATCTGTGAATGTGTGGGAAGACCTTCCAGTTCCCAGTCTTCACAAAGGAAGTAGGGGTATGTGGGATAACAAAAATCTTGAAGATGCTTCTAAAAGGAATGAATTTGCCAATGAATGCAAAGAAGGATTTGAAACAAGCACTGAGCAGAACAAAATTCCTAAAAGCTTAGATTTTTGGAATGCCCATGTAGATGATGATACTGTATCTTCTTTATCAAGTCCTGAAATAAATGAGGATTCAGAGACTTCAGAGGCATGTCCAGAAGTGAGTCATGAAGATTCCGTATATGAAAACAAACAGCACAAAGCATCTGAAATTAGAGACGATTATGCTCCACCCAGTAGAACAAGTCCTGAAGCAAATGAAGACAATACAGATGCAAAAACTAAGGTGGGAGAGGAGGTTCAGGTAGGCATCTTCAATGAAAATCCTGAAACAATTAAAACTAGGAAAGTATTGCAGGAAGACTCGACTCCTGAATGTTTAGGTCACTGGGAAACACTTCAGAAAGAAGATCAAGTGAGTATTTTCAATGAAAAAACAGGTAGTGGAGAAGACTCGTATTTGTATCAAATGAATGAAGATACTACACTGACTTTTGCTGCTTGTGATAAAGAAGAGTATTCAAAAGCTGTAGATATGCAGAATATGTCATTGGAAACTGATTTAAGAACTGATCTGAAACCCACAGTAGGAACATTTCATTTTCCAGATGACTCTTTGGAATGGTGGAATTCACAGCCTGGTGAAGAAAAGCGATTGGAAGACCAGTATTCCATTTCAAGTCACTCTGCAACAAATCAGTTAGTATATAGTAAGGACCACTGGGGACCACCTTTACAAGATGAAGAAGTAGCAGAATATTTCGCTATTGCAAGTAATGATGGAAATCAGCCTCCCCCTCTACACTGTGATGAAAAAGAAAATGAAAGTCTGGTACAACCTATGAATATTCCTGATAGTGAGATAAATCAAGATACTGTACAGTTCAAACAATTTCATCCTTTTATACTGGATAAAGAAGAAAAGGGCTTGAACGAGATGTTGTTTATTACAGGTGAGGAAAACCAGCTGACTCCACAGAATCCTTTTTCAGATGAGGAAAGAGGTATGCCAGATATATCAGTGCAAGAAATCACTGTACTGGATCTACCAAAAGACAGTGACGGAGATGCAAGTTTCATTCCCCAAGAACAACAAGGGGACACCTATGAAAAATCAGAAGTGCACAGCTCCCTGTCAGGTTCTTTCACTGTAGAAGACTTATCATATGAAATGACAGAGAAGTCCAGTCCAGGGTGGAATATATTAGGTTCCCAAACAGCACTTATCCCAGATATTTTACAGGATAGCACACAAGAAAGTAATCAGCTGTTTTCAGTGGAACCTGACCTGTGGACTAATGCTGAGCAGATTGTAACTTTGAAATCTGATGGTGAAAATCCAGATATATTAAGTCATTGTGACCAAGACAATAGTTCAGAGGCATCAAGCAGTCCTGATGTGTGCCAGGAGTATGAAGCTAAGCATGCCTCTGTCCCATCTTCTCAGATTGGGGTGGAGACAGAAGACAAAGATAGCCTGCCACTTCACACATGGTCAGATGTTAGTAAAGAGGCAGATTATGATTCAAAGTGTCAGTTAGTAATGCAGAAAATAGAGACACAGGCTGAAAGTCATAGCCCCCAGGACAATGAACAGGGAAAGATGGATGAATCCTATCAGCCTATCTCTTCTAATATTCAGGAGCTTTCTGAACTTGCAACTTTGAAAGAATATGGTCTAGAAAGTAAACTTGTTACTGACCCAACTGAGTCGGCTGAAATTACCAATGAAGTTTTAGAAGTGAGGTCCTTAGATCTGCATGACGTATTCCATGAAAGTTTTACTCCTGCAAGCCATCGAGGAACACCAACCGATACAGATCAAACAGCAACCTCTCAAATGCATTTGGTTCCCATGGATTTCACTCTACCTGAAAGGGCAGAACAAAGCATAAAAGAAGCTAGTGCCTTGAGTGAAGTTGGAAAGCATTCTAATGTTGACCATACAGCAATAACTGGTGATGAACTGGACATGTCAGAAGAATGTGTGGATGAATCTGAGACAAGAGTGGACCGTAACATCAGGAACACATCAGCGACTGTTGTCATGGCAAGCACATGTTCTGGAATGAACACACTGGCAACAGCAGGCAGTGAAGCAGCAGAAGGGGAACAAAAGGATAAACAGGTATTCTTTCCCAAATCCCTTCTGCCTGGTGGTAATGAAGGCTGCGAATCCAATTCAGATAATCAACTGTTTGATGATATAGCAAAAGAATCTGAAGATGTAATTGGAAATGATGTTCCTGTGTTTAAGGAAGTGCCCAGTGGCCAGTCACCAGTGGTGTGTACCCCACCATCCTATGTATCTTATGATGCTGTGCCCTCTGGCACCAGAGAGTGTGCAGATGACAGTGCTTCTTTTGAAAAAGCTTTACCACTGCCAACGCCTTCAGAAGGTGCAGAAGGCATCCCAATGACCAAAGACACCAACATTAAAGATCAGGTGTCTGAAACACCCACAGAGTGCCTTCAGGAAAATCACACATCTTCACTCTCCGAGTCTGAAGTAACTCCAGGAGCTTCTGAGATTTCAATAGAAAAATCTGAAGCAGAAACAGCAGATCTCGACTCACCGCCAGGTGGAGATAAGAGATTACCTGATGGTAAGAAAACATGCTTTCCAGGGCAAGTTCGTAGAACAAAAGAAAAACGAAATGTCTGGAGTATTACTGCTGAATGATTAGGCTTTAAGTGAAGTTCTAAGTTCGTGTGTCTCCCTGGTGTACAAAACTGTACTTTGGGAGGACCTCTAGCTCACCCTTCTGGACACATCTAAAGCTCTTAAGCACTGAAGTAGGAACAGTATTTCTGTTTGTACAGAGCCTAGCATATGGGACACAGAATCATTTGTTCCTTAGAAATTATTGCAGTGTTAATGTATAATCTTTAACAATAATGATGATGATGGTGTTATAAAATTCAAGTACACATTAACAGAGCAAATAAAACTGAGAAGAGCTTTATCTCACTGTACTGATTTAAAGAAATCATGCTGACTAAAATAATAATTCAAAAACTAAAAAGAGTTTCTGTTTGCCTGTTCTTTTAGAAGCTGGCGCTGACTCCCTGCTTTGTATGGAGCACATGCTGAGGAATTCCTCTGGGAGCCCTAACCTGAAAAGTACAGAGAATAAGGAAGAGGTGAAGGTGCACCAGGATCCAACTTCACTGGAGATGGATTACATCCTTGTTACTGAGGAAGAAAGTACGCCTTCAACAAAGGATATCCTTGAAAGAAAGAAAAGTAATTTTGCATTTCAAGAAGCTAATGTAGCTGAACAAACAGAAACTCACGATGGCTTTTCACCAGGTTACTTGGATACCTTTCAGCCAATCTCCATTACAAATGAAAGGGAAGATCACTTTGTTTGTGGGACTGAATGGGACTCTGTTCTCTCAGAAGAGAAATGGTCTTCTGTTGTGCCTCAAAAACTGGATGATGAAAGGAGATCACAGGAAAGCTGGGAGCAGGATGAGGGCTGGATTATACTGGGACGAAATGAAGTCAGTGACATAGTGCCTGAAGAAATTTTTTGTGAGCCAAAATCAGAGATGCCAAAATCAGGGTCTGAATACTCTGGTGAAGAGCTGGCAGCTGTTGTAGCACAGGGATTGATACTTGACACTCGTGCAGAATTTCAGGTAGAAATTCCTCTTCAGAAGTCTTCTGAACATGAGAGCTGTTCTCCTACGAATAGCCTGACTACCAAGGACAAGAGTTTGGGCATTGCAGGAGCACATACATTGCAGGTGGTTGGTGGTGATGGTGAATGGGAATCAAATTCTCAACGGAGACTTGGAAATAACATAGCAATAGAACAAGAAATGAAGGAGGAAACGGTGCTCCTCAACACTGAAAGAGAGCTGAGTCAAAAATCAGGGTAAGGAAAAAAACAACCTGTTTCCTTTCAAGAGTCTTCTGTGTGACATTATGAATAGATGCCAAGATTTTTAAGTCTGAAGTACCATTTATATTTACATGATTTAAGTATGACTATATTCCTCCCTTGCAAAAACAGTGTTTGTTCTTGGTTGCTCAATATGAGCCAAATCAGCATTGTTTTGCAATGCAGTAAGCTTGTAAGGCTGCTTCCTTGCAGGAGTGAGTCTATCTTCCTTCTTATGAAGTCCCACAGACTTTATAACCTACCTTTAAATCTGAAACAGATGTGTCCAGGAAATGCAGGCCAAAGCCAGGTACTTGGTGGTATTGCCAGACCAGATGTAATGCCAATGATGAGGTTTTGGAGGGATCAAATTGAAGTGCTGTCTCTGCCTAATGCAGAACTGTTGGGAAGAAAGACAGGAGGGAATTAAGGCTCAGAGTCAGAAAAAGGTGCTGCTTGTAGAAGGAAGAAGAGGTTGATGGAAAATAATGGTCTTTGTGGTTATTTCCAAGCTGTAGTCAGGTCAGAGCAGCATTTCTGGCTTTTTGGACTGGATTGGCAGTGGTCGCAGCTTGAATATATTTGCACCTGCCTTTGGGTGAAGTGCAGTCTCTGTGCTTATAGCATTGCTACTGCCTGCTGTCTCTCTGCTGTCACAAGATGGATATAGAGATGACCCTCTTGACTCCATTTACTGTAGTGTTTTGGAGAGGGTGCTTCTGTTGTTGTTTCCTTTCCTTTTACAACGCGGAGGGTCTAACTGCAACAGTGAATTTCTGGGGTCACTTTCAGAGATGCAGGTGTGGAAGTCTTGTATCCTGGGCATCTGCAACCAACACATTACAGTTTACAGAGAGGAACCTGGAATTGTGTTTATACAGGGAAATTCTCACGAACATTAAAAGAAACTTCCCAACACAAATAAAACTAGCAGGTGTAACTGCTTTATACTTGCTACTCCTTTTGAACTGCACTTACCCAAAAGAGCATCTGTGGTATGAAACATGAGAAAACATACTTTTTTTGTGAAATACAAGATTGATTCTGATTTTTCAAGTTTCTCTCAAGCACTTGTCAGTTCAGTGTAGAATACACATTACATTCCCAACTTCTATTAATAGGCTTGCAATTTATTTTAGACTTTACTTTTTTTATTTGAATTTGAAAATTTTACAATTTTAGCATTAGGCTTTTTTCCCTTAAAGGTGGCATGCTTGTGTATAATAGAATAACCCTGATCACAGGATGTACAATTAATCTGTGACAGAAAAAACAGCTTTTTGCTACCCTCTTCCCACCCTGAACAGTTCACATTTTATTAAGATTTAAGGAGTGAATAGTTCAATAGCTGTGATGACAGCTAATATATTAAAATGCCTCCTCTAAACATTTTCACACATTTTACAAGGGAGTGTGTTGTTACCACAAGGTCAGACACTGTTACGCCTGAGCTGGTTTTAATATATGGGAAGCGCTGTCTTAAGCCTAGAAAGAAACCCCAACCTCAGAAACTCTGAAAGATGATGTTACCTGCAGGCTTAAACTTAAGAACCTGTATAGGACTTTGGGTTTTCTTGACAGACAAGATTGTAAGTGATATACAGAGCATACTTTGCCCTCACACACTTCTCCTGCCTGAAACTGCTTCAGTCTAACTAGACAGACAGCACTGAGAATAGAGAGGGGCTCTGTTTCAGTAGGGCAGTGACAACTTTTATTGATGCAGGTTAGCATTTACTGCCCTCAAGAAAGAGGAAAATCTTCAGAAGGCTTAGCAGAAGACAAGCATTCTCCAGTTCTGTGCAGTTTGAAATAAACAAAATGATGAGTGCTTGACCTTCAAATTACCAAAAATAGAGCTGGTTGGCACATTTCTGTTGCAGCAGTCCTCTAAGCTTCTGATTTCCATTCCAGAAGGAAAATTAGAAATTTTGAAATTCTGCCCAAAAGAGAAATCTAGAAAAAACAAAATAAGTAAAATACCCAAGCAGTTTTGTGTCTGTATCATTGTGTGGAAGTATGGCTTGGGATCTGCAGATCTAAGAACACTAGGCATCCTTTGACTTTTGAGGTGGTTTGCTTGTTAGCACTAGTTGACAACCTGGAAGTCATTTTCCACCATTCTTTCTGCAGGGTATCACTGAGAGTTCAAACCCAACTAATTTCAAAGATTTTTTCTTTTTCACAAACCAGTCATTCCTAGTGAAAAAAATTTTAATCAAAAAAACTATCACCTCTTGTCACAATAAATGGTGAATGGAATGGGAAAGTGGAAGGGCTGTTTAGAGGTGCTGGCTAGTTACAGGCTTGCAAGTCTGACATAAGTCAGCTTTCAACTCCTCTGTCTCCCATAAAGCATTTAAATTCAAAGCATCCAGATGCTGACCCTGCTTAAGTCACACTGATTAATTACATGCAGGCAGCATCCTAGGGTTTGACTTGCCATGCCTATGTGCCCATGATGTTCTTCTTACCAATGAAAAGAAAATTAGTCCAAGTATCTGATTTAAAATTATTTATTTAATTTTATAATCAGCACGATGGAGTTGGGATAGCTTTGAAGCAGCAAGATTCCTTGTTAGATACCTCAAGAAAACAAGCTGATTTTTGAATTTACACAAGAACTAAAAAAATCATTCCTTTGGTTATGGATTTATAAGGAGGTTTTAGCATCTTATTACTACAGATTGTTAGATAACTATGAGAATACTGCTGTACTTAAGGAACAGGACATTGTCCAAAGTAAAAACTTGAATCTTGTACACAGTAGTAGATCATGTTGGTGTTTCAAATGTGGTACATTTGTTATTCTTAGAGGTTAGTATGTTCTCTCAGACTGATTCCCACAATAAGGTCCAAAACTGGACCATGTTAATGTAAGAGTGTTTTCAGGGAAAACTTAAATGCATGATGGAATATGGTTCATCCTGCAAGGAAAGCATACAGTAGGTCTTGGTATAGGATATATATATGTGATGACAGTAGCTTCCGCTATAGGCTTTTTTATTATCCAACTCAGAAGTTGTATTATTTGCCCTTTCAGTGGATAGCAATGGCTATTTCTGTCCTTAACCCTAGTAATGCTGAAGCTCAGGGAAGTAAAGAAAACCAAAGAATTTATTCAGCATCTGCATTAACAGTTATTTATGGAAGCATGGAACCAGTAAAATCTACTTTGCAATGGGTTCATGTTTCATTGTTAGATGTTTTTCTTGATAAGGTGTGAAATATAACCCAAGTATTTTCCAGCATTAATGTTACTAAAAATATTGCTCTTGTATGAGAATTTCCTAATAGAGATTGTGCTTAAGGTGCTGTTTTCCCTTCAGTTTCACCTGTGCTTGGTATCTGATGTTCAATAAACTTCTTGGTTTATTGAACTATTTTAAAGCTTATGTCTTTGGTCAGTTAGTGGCTTCAGACTTTTCAGGGGATACCAGAGACACATGCAGATGTCCCTCTGCATGCCCACAGCATGATCACAAAAGCCTTGATCTCTTTGAAGTCAAAGCAAATGCACAAAAAAAATATTATGGTAGAAAGAATAAAACACAGGAATAATTATTTCTAGATTATATGTCAGTTTCATTAAACCTCTTACATAAACAGCTGAAAAAACAGTAACTGTTATGTAGAAGTATGTAATTAGAAATGCTTTCTAATGCACTTCATTGACAGTTTTAAAAACACAAATTCCTTCTTAAGATATACTTCAGTGTGCAGCTTTTAAATCTGAAATTAATTCGCTTTCTTGGCCAACAAAGTTTAAAACAACGTGATATGGCAGAACTGTCAACCTGTGGGAGGTGAGCACATAAACACTGGTGTCATCATGTAAGAGAAGAAATTAAGGCTTTTCTCCAGTTGCCAGAGTTTCTGGATTGCTTGATGGTGCTAGTCACCAGGCTCTGAGTCCACTATATCCATTTATATCTTTGAAGTAGGCTTTGGGAGAACTGAACCATGGTCTAAATAACTGGTACTCAGCTCTCAGAAGTGTCCTGCCAGAATTTCTGTATTTCTGAAGTCTAATTTTGACTCAGGAAAGCCAACTGTATGCTGGGCTGCATCAAAAGGGGCAAGTTGAAGGAGGTAATCCTGCCCCTCTACTCCACTCTGGTGAAACCCCACATGCAATACTGTGTCCAGTTCTGGAGCCCCCAGTGTAAGAAGGATGTGGACCTGCTCAACAAGTCCAGAGGAAGGCTATGAAGATAATCAGAAGTCTGGAGCACCTCTCCTGTGAAGACAGGCTGAGACAGCTGGGCTTGTTCAGCCTGGAGAAGGCTCCAGGGAGACCTTCTAGGAGCCTCTGTTACCTAAAGGAGGCCTACAAGAAATCTGAAGAGGGACTTTTCACAAGAGTATATAGGGATAGGACAAGGGGGAATGGCTTTAAACTGAGAGGGTAGATTTAGATTAGATATTAGGAATCAGTTCTTTGCAGGGAGGGCAATGAGAAACTGGCAGAAGTTGCCTAGAGAAGCTGTGGCTGCCCCATCTCTGGTCATATTCAGGGACAGTCCGGACAAAGCTTTGAGCAACCTGGTCTAGTAGAAGGTGTCCCTAGGTGTCCCAGACCTAGATGGCAGAGGATTAGAGCTAGGTGATCACTGACGTCCCTTACAACCCAAACCATTCTATGATTCTGTTATTCTGTCATCTTTGAAGAATAAAGAAATTCATAATTGTATTTGGATGATGGGGATGTCCCCATCAATGGACAGTTGAATTGATAGTCCGAAGTTTATGGAGTCATTTACTCAGTAACTGCCTTCTAACCGCCTTCTGAATCTACAATTTATTCACGTGTCCCTTGTTTCGAAAAAAAAATTAAGTTCATGCTTGCATGCTGTGTGGAAGTAGACTCCTTTGGTAGTTTAATAATGGTCAGTAAAGGATGCAGTTTGCATTATTTTCTGCCCTTATCCAGTAAGTGGCTGTCACTTTATCTAAGAAATGGACTGGTTTGTAGAAGAGGGAAATAAAGTTACAAAATACAAAGCATAAACAAAAATTAGAATGAAGAAGTGGATTAAAATCTTTGTATCTGCTGATCACTGGCCTCTTCATCCCAGTGTCAGACATAACAGCTCTCCAAGGCTGTTAAGGTCAGTTTTAAAAAAAGTCTGTTACTGGTAAAGTTCTCCACTGTTCTGTATCCCTTCTTCAACAAATAGCAGCGGCAGAAAAAGAAGTATGAGCGTGCTTGCCACCATTAAAACACTGGAGAAAAGATACAAACCTGTCTAAGTAATATGCAAACCACAGAAGTAATGAACCCTAGAGGTTTCTTTGGCCTCATAAAGAAGGACAAAGAGATTTGATAGCACGTTATTAATGTCAGTCTTTCCAGAAAGAAAACAGCTTTTTATACAGCTTTCCATATGTGAAGAGCAGAGGGTAATGACATTTCAAAAGGAAAAATTCATGGAGCACTTTATGAATGTTAGGTAGGCAGGATAACATACTTTGCTGCTGCTGCTGCTGCTTCTGTGACTGGAGATGTCCAGCAGTAAAATTTATGAAGACTGAAGGTCGTTTTCTTCCTGATAGAAGCTGCCCTGTCTTACAGAGCTGTATGGAGCCCAGTGGTGACACAGTCGTCAGGAGGCAGAGGGAGAACACTTCAGATAACTATGCTAGCTTTTACCTACCAGCACACTCCTCAGGGTTGCCTGTACCAGATCATTGTTGCTGTAACCTTTGCTGTAGGGATTAGTTGTCATTTCCTTAGTAGGAAGAGTTAGAAAAAGCTGAGGTGTGGTTTAAACCCAGCTGATAACTCACCATGCAGCCACTTGGTCATCCCTCACTCCCTGATCCTGGGATGGGAAAGAGAATTGAAGGAATCTAAAACCTGCAGGTTGAGATAAGAACAGTTGAATAACTAAAATAAAGTACAATATACTGAAAATAGAAAAAACACCAACAATAACAATGATAATAGGAAACAAGAGAAGTCCTTGATCAGGGTAAGTGCTACTTGGCAACAACTAAAACATCAGTGTGTTATCAGCATTGTTCTCAGACTAAAGATGAAACACAGCACTGCACCAGCTACTAGGAAGAAGACTAACTCTTACAGCTGAAATCAGGACATGAGGGAAATACTATGAAGTTACATGTTGACCAGACAAATAAGAAATAGTGAAAGCAGTATAGATAAGGACACTGATGTTTGGAAGGTTTGGGGGAGAGCTTAGAAAATAAGTGGCAAAACTGAATGGAAGACAATTTCCTTTGAACAGCTGCTTTTATTTATTCAACCTACTAGAATAAGGCTTCTACAAAGAAAGCTTCACTTCCCTTTCTGATAGCATGTTCTCAAAGAAGGAGATAGCACTCTTTTCTGCTCACTTGTATAGTGACTTTTTGGAAAAGATAGTTCTTCCACTGCTTCTATCAGAGTCTCTCTGATTACTGTTGTACCACTGGCTATTAAAGTTGCCCAGCACTCTTAAAATTCCAGTAAATTTTTAATAGAGAAACCTGTTTTCATCACATTGCCTGATTGACAGTGAATAAAGATAACTACAAATATGTGACTATTTCAAGATCAATAAGAATTAAGAGACTACTCTGCTATCCCTGGGATTTAGCCAAATACGTATCATATATTGCAAAGCTCAATACTGAATTGAAATACTGACAGAATGGAACCAGGAAAAAAATTCTTCTTGACTCCAGTGGACCAAGTGTTTCACCCAGTATTTTCTCAAAATGTCTGTTCCATCACCCTAAGGCTAGAATAAGGCAATGAATTAGGGAGCCCAGGTTTGCTTTTTGCTTTAACAGGCAAAGCAGACTGCTATATATAGGAAGCCTAAAGGATCGAACATCTGTTACTAGTTTAAGTGGCCACATTCTGCAAAGTAATCTTTAATTCCCTTTGGATGCCTCTGCTTCCCTTTTTCCTTGCTAATGTGTGGGGCTGTCCTCTTTCACTCCTGTCAGGATTGTTTATTAATTGGCCAGACTTGCTGGAAAGCAATTTCAGGCGCTCTGGAGACCATGCTCCATGAAGGCATGAAGGCATGCTGCTTCAGTGGTGCTTTTAGCTCATGCTGAAATAGAAGATTATGGACTTGAAATGAAAATTGAACTCAGGTCTTCCACTTGGCAGCACAAAGCATGACAAGTGATGAAACAAGGAGCATGCTTTAAAAGTTAAAAACAAGCATGTGAGAAAAAGAGCAACAACAGAGAAGATTGCTTGTAGGAAAGTCCATGAAGTGAAAGTTAAGGCCTTGAAATGAAAGCTGAAAAGTAAATTGAAACAAAAAGTTTAGTTTGGTATGAGCAAGAACGCTTTAAATTGCTGGCTCAGAACTTGAGATTTCAGTGTTCATCTGAGTATAGGATGGGAAACTATATGATTAATGTATTTTACATTATTACAAATCATATTATTATCATTATAGTAATATACATAATGTATTAAAAAGCTCTATGTTTTATATGAGCCTTTACAAAAATATTGCTTCTGTGAAAACAGAAGAATCCCTCAGACAAATTCAGAGCAGGGAGTTTTTCAACAGTATACCTGTAGATTCATTAAAACTTTTTTATTTTTTTTAATTTTGTAATAATCCATTTTAATGTCAGTGAGTCTCACTCCTAACCATTTTTATTCATGGAAGTAACAACATAACACATTTCATGCATGAACTTTAGTAACACCATTTTTTGCCTTCTACTTGACTTGGCTGTTAAGTCATGGCAACCATCTTTTTTTATCAGTTTTGGGATGGTACAGTATTTTCCATCACCATCTGGAGGTTGAAAATTAATTAAAACTAAATAACCAGTTTTCCATTGCAGAGCCAGCTGTTAAACAATAGCAGCAGCCAATATGGTGATGATCCTATTTTTGTAAAAATGCATTAATATTTAAATGCCAAATACCAAGTACTTTATAAAAGCCTTTTAACAGGAAGAAAGCAACACTTAGGTGACTGAGAAGCAATTTTAAAAGGAAAAAAACCCAACCTACTTATTAATGAAATTTTACTTAAATTGTGAGACTGGGCCCATAGATCTACTTTTTAAAGCTAGAAGCCTGGACTGTGTTAGTACTGTTTAGTATAAGAAAAACTCTTTAAAACACTTCAAAACAGTTCTATGAGCTAATTCATTATATAATTTATTCCAGTGACGAGATTTCAGCATAAAGCATTATTGAGTTTTGAAACTTACCCCTGTTGACCCAGGACCTGACTCTGATAACAGCCAGCCCCAGTGAGTTTACTGGGTCCCAGAGGAGTTTCCTAAAATCTCGAAGATGTTTTGTGGCATTTTGAGCATGGAGGATCAAGGACATGATCCATGATGTCTGCCATGGTACTAATTTCACAGGTTTATTGTTATCATGGTACTAATGACTTTTATTGTACATAATTTGTTTACAGCTTTTTTTCCTCCATACAGCTTCTGGGTGTCTGAACTTTTGATTTCAAATGGATTAAAGATTGTCCAGTTAAAGTGGTGCTTAAAATATCCCTATCATTGGAAATTTTACATAGACAGCTGTCAGAAGTTTTATGTCAAATAGTGACAGAAGCATCAAAGATCATGTCTGCAGCAGTGTCATCTTTAGAAACGTATTTTCATGTTGGTGATTATTTTCAGGTTTTTTTAAACACTTGGTATTGCTCTGTTTTTTATAAAATAGCACCTGGGGACTGATTTCTCAAGAAGTCTGCAATAAGATAATGATAACTTTCCCTGTGAGATTATTAATAACATGAAGAATAGGGTGGGAACCACTGAATTTTTGTTTACGCTATGCTGTAGGTGTGCATGGAGCTGTTCTAACACATGAAAAGGGCTGAGATGGATTGAATCCGTAAGAACTTTTGTCATGCAGTCTCATCACAAGCTTTCCTCAGGCTCTGAAATGAAACAGCAGGGAGAATATCAGTACTGGAAGCTGACTTGCTGTATCAAAGTTTGCTGATGCTGTGACAAAGCTCCACAGGGAATGTAAAACAACGTAATTTTCATGGCCAAAGCACAGTTCTGCCTCCATTTAAGCTCTTCTTTAACTAGAGCTGGGTAGCTGCTGGTTCACACAGCAGCTATCTGGAGGCAGGTGATCGCCCTGATTTAGCAGTACCACTAGCCACGTGACAAGAAAATGGTGGAGGATGTGTATTCTTAGTGAGCTGCGGCAGAAACAGGAATGCTGAAGTGCAGCAGTAAAGCATCTTTAGTATTTTCCCAGTAGAAAGGCATCTTCAGGTCTTTAGAAGGTAAGCATTTCTTTACTCTCATAGGCTGATATGCAGGTTTTCAGATTAAGGATTCTATTGTCACAGTTACTTTAGGTGAAAAAGGGGAAAGAAATGTTAGTCAGCATGATGCAAAGCACCCAGGACGTCATTACTGAAAACAGGGCAGCTGTGTTTTAATTCTGTTTTAGCTCTTTACGAGAGCTTACATCAGTTCAGTGGAATGCCTTTTGTCTGAGCGCAGGCATGGCATATGTAATTAGGAAACAAAACTTCACTGCACAGTCACCTAGTGTGTTATGTTATTTTCAGCTTTTTTGCCTAGTTCTGAGGATACGGCAGGGAAAAAAAAAAAGAGTAAACGTTGGGGATTGTCAGTGGATAACTTGTTTTTAAAACTGCTTAATAACTGGCATAGAGATGGTTTGTAGGAGATCTCATAGGAGACCACCGGACAGTGGTGCTGTTTTCAGGGGGTTTGCTACCAACTGAAGCGTATAATTTTTAATTATTTTTTTGTTTTTCAATGTCCTCTTAAAATGTTACAGTAAACTGAATATATAATCTTTGAAGATTAACTGATCAAGGATGCAGCAGTAAGCTCAGTGCTAAGAGGACTGAAAAATTACTGCAAAAGTTGATTTCTGCAGGCAATATTTTTGTTTCAATTTAATTGTGGGAGCTTGATTCAGCTCCTTATTATTTTCCATCTGTGAAGATGTGAAAATATTCTGCAATTTTAAGTGTGGTAAGCAGACAAATAATAGTGATGTACAGGAGGTACTGAAAATGCATAGGATGTCTCAAAACTAGCTAATTAGAGCATCACTGAAAGAGAATATGTGCAGGCTTGGTAGGTGTATTTACCCAGAATCATTCTAAGTAGGGGCCAGGAAGAGATGTAATTTCTGGACTTCTGTTTATTAACAGTCTTGGGAAGCAGAGCTGTATTGAGAAAGGGAGGATGCACACAGCTCATGAGGCATTAAGACAATTGGGGGAGGAGGAGGGAAAGACACTAATCCATACTCTGACAGAATAGTTTTTCCAGGGGTGCTGTGTCCCACTGCGGTCACCTATGTCTTTCACTGCTTCAGTCTTGGGCAAGGGAGGACTAAGGTGTAAAATAGCCTTTTTATTCCTGTCTTTGATGAGTCCGGCTGTTATTTGGCCCTACACAAATCTGGACATTATTATAAAAATCTGGTAGCTAGATGCAAGTATAGCTTTTGCATAAATTCGCTACTTTAAAAAACCAGGTCCTGCTAAGAGCAGTATATTGTGGTTTTGTGGCATCTCTGTAGTATTCAGCATTGAGAGTAAATGTTATTTAACAGCTTGTAATATATCTGTAGGGGGAGAAAAAAAAATCAGTCTTTAAGCCACAGACTTTGTTCAGGTGAAAGCAACTCTCAAACTTACCAAGAAGGTCTATATAGGTGAGAATATGATTTTGTCAGCAACTGTTAATACTGATAAAGCTGTTTTTACCACTGTAGTGTCTTCAGCACTGGAGATACTTCCTATTAGACCCTCTGCAAATATCCAGAAAAATACAGTGCTACTGCACCAACAGATGAGACGAGTGCAGAGGGGAGGATGCAAGTGACAATCCAGCTGCTTGACAGATAGTTTATGTACTTGTTTTTGCTTTGGATATTAAAAGAAATGGCTTAGCTGTTGTGGGATTTTATTAATTAATTTATTCTGATATTACCAGTTCTGAACATGTCATATAGATTACAGTCTTCTCTAGAGCCACTGTAACTATGAAAATAGAAGCAGATCAGACTTTTATTTCAGGTTACTTGATGAAAGTTGTGTTCTACAAGAACAACATCACTCTCCTTTTCAGAAAACACTGTGATCAAACTCTGAAGAGTGATGAGCAGCATCAGGATACACCTTTGCCTGCTTTTCTAAAGCAGTAGACAGTTATATTTCCCAAGCCGTAATGTGTGAAGAGTGCCACGGGGGATAAGGAGCCCCATTTTCTCATATGGTTCCTGAACATTACTTCTTGAGGCTGGCATTTTATGTCACTCTGGCTCTTTTACAGAAAGTATTTTTGCTATGTCTGGCATTATCTTCTCTCCCACACTTTGGTTGGGTTTTATTTTTCTGCTGCTTCTGTGGCGCTTCCGACTCAGTTACAGAGTTCTGTCTCTGAAGCTAACTGATGACTTTCTGTGTTTCCCTTAGGACTTGCCTTTTCAGACCTCCTTCCTGCAGAGTCTGACAGCCTTTACTGCTCTGGACAGCTCTTGCCAGTGCAAGCAGGTTGCAAGACTGTCTTCTTTGGTAGCAGTTTTAGTGCTTTGGTAGAGCTTATGTGCCTTGATTAAGTGTCTCCTCTGGCTCATAGTTGGGCTTTTCCTGGGTTTTTCCCAAGTTGTAAATCATGCAGTATGGATGGGAATTTTCAGTTAGTAATTTACACCCATAAGGTGTCATAGCCAGGATAGGGAAAATGTAGTTGCTAGTTATTTGAGGGTTTGCTGCAGTCTATATTATAGTAACATTGAACATCACACATAAATTGTGAAAGCATTGTTATATTAATAACATGGAAAGCTGGAAATTTGGCAGTACACTGGCAAAGAAGTGAGAAGAAAAGAGAAAATGAATGAATTCTGAAGATGTAAAGTGCTGAAGAAATAAAAGTTCTTTGAGAAGGGTAAGGAATGCAGTCATAAATAAGACCAGAGAAAAAGGGGAGGAAAAGGTGTAAGTCGTATAGTATAAGGAAAAAAGTTACCATTTATCTTTTCTTGTCTATGAGCATATTATAAATTGTGCGAAGGCTGAACTTGAAATCAAAGTAGAGCTAGAAAAATAATAATGTTCGTGAACATTATTATTTAATGAACAGATCAATAAAGTGTAAAGTGCTTTTAACATCTTGACATTAAAAGAGTTGTTATGATTTGCAGTTCTGAAAATCATCCCTAAATACATTTTATCATCCAAGCAAGACAGAATTCACCTGATGTAAGATGTTTTGTTAAAATACTCAATTCTGGCTAGAATAGTGTGGTAATCATTGTTGTACATGCTGGAATTCATACATGCAGAGAAACATGTCCATTATCAATGCAAAAAGTTGACAGTATTTCAGAAAAGCCAAGTAGAAAACAGGAAATGGCCACGAGGCTCAGAAGTTAGCATAGTTGCAGAATAGTGGTTATTACTAATGGTTAAGAGCAGTCTGAGGCATTTTAGTATGTCTTCATTTAGAAGCAAATGTGCTTGATTAGGTGGAGACTGTAATAATAGTTGGAAAGGAGTTCTCACAACTCAACTGGAGAATCTCAGTAGGGTGTAAAAGGTAAAACTTCCTTTTCTGTTTCCAATCCTGCAACTTCCACCCATTAACTACTCTCAAAGCCTTAGCGTACTTCCTGAAAGTGCAGATGGCTGCATTTGGTATCATGTGCATGCTGCTTTTTCAAGTGCTGATCATGTGCCAGTTGCATCTTTTGGAGCCCCAAGTATTCTGATGAATGGTCTTGACAACACAGTGGCAGGAAAATGGTTAGTGTGAGCTGCACATGCTGGAAGGACACCTGGTTTTAAACTGAGGAAAACCAAAAACTGAGTTTTCTGAAGGAATAATTAATTGTTCAATGTAGTAGAAGGATGGAAATCAGGTTCCAGGTCTGTGATTAAGCCTAGCTTTTTAATAAATATTTAAAAATACTATTTTCAAACAAAATGTATTTTCAGGTTATACTTAAGGATTTTCTATGTGAGATTAATTTAACTCTCACTTTCTCTGCTGGCATTACCTTATTACAATGTATTTGTAGTATTTGTTCAGGAGTGGTTGAACAGATTAACAGATAATCTAGATGTTATTTGTAGAATATTAATGTTTATTAAGAGCAGAGAGATCAGATAAGTTTAAACAGGCCTTCTAAATGCTAATGCTGCTCTGAATCTACATAGTTCTCTGCCAGACCAACGTTTATGGAGGAGCACCTGTCACACAGGCTTCCCAACTTTATGTTAATTCTGGTACTTCTCCGCTGGCTCAGTAATGATTAAGGAGTGTTGAGCTGGGCACGTAACAGAGGAAAGCCTCTGCTCTGAGATCAAGACCACATGGTGATACGTTAATGCAGTGCCAAAAGATCAATACACGTCAAGTTGCATGCTACGCCTACCTTAGAATTTGTTAACTCTCTGCCTGCTTTTTGCACGCAGAATATTGAGTTAAGAGAATATTATTAAAATGCTGATACTAGGAAATGTCTAGCAGGTTCTGCACTTCACTGTAAGAGGAATGATTGGAGACAGTGCCATTTCATGGATACCAGTAGGGTAACACTGCCCTGAAGACTTGTCTACTGTCTGTGTCCATGCCATGAAGCTGTTAAGAGGTGTGGAGCAGGGCAGCAGGAGTCAGCAGCTGTTTGAATCATACATGTCTTTCTCTTCTGCCCCATGTCTGATTTCTACGTTTTCTGGATGCCAAAGTGAAGCATTATGGGGTCTGACTATGCTAGTCTTTTTCAGTAGCAGCTAGTCATGATGATCAGGAGTTACATATTCAGAAAAAAATCCTAAGGTTATTAAGTATCACATACCAGGAACTCACAACTCATGAATACTTTAGAACTTAATTCTTCTCTTCTATAACAGTGAATAATTCCTTATCTTAAACTTATAAAGCTGTTGTCCAAGGTATGTTAGATAGTGTTTGGAAATGCTGAAGTGATAAGCATCTCTGAAAAGTACCAGAAAGGACTAACTGTTGTATCTCAAGAACAATGTTCGAATACTGCACAGTTATTAATGCTTGGGGATGCAGAAAGGACAAGATAAGGTATTAAATAGTTGCTCATTGGATTGCACCATTTTTCCTGCAGCATCCTCTGACCTGCTGGTGATAACCCCCTAGGAAGAAACGTCTGGGTATTCAGGGATCTGCTGCAGGCAGCATCGGCCTGGCTTGCATGCTTGAGACCCCATTTCAACAAGACATCTAGGTTTGGGACTTAAATCTAATTTCCCTCATT